GTCCTTGAGCAAGACACTGAACCCCCAGTTGCTCCCAGTGATAACACTGGTGTGTGAATGTATGAGTGCTTGGGAGTGCGAATGGGTGAATGGCCAAATAGTGTGAAAGTGCTTTGAGTGTGCTGTAAAGCACAGAAACGTACTATACAAGTTTAAGCCCATTTAGTGTTCCTGGTCTCCTGATTAATATTAGTCCAATATTCACTCTTCTTTTAGCTCTGCTTTGGCCTCACTAACTCCTGAGGAAACAGTCTGGCTGTTTAGCTGTTAATGCTCTACTATGTTCAGCAGCTAGCTGTTAACTGTGTCTGTCTAATGTTTGGTGCTGGACAGGTAACATAAAGTGGGCTATAAGAGCTTTGTCACTGAAAACTGCTGCCCATGCTTCGGCTGAAAATGGTGTTAATGGTAGAAAATAGCTGTGGGCTCTAAAACCAAAGCAAAGACCTAAAAGATACTAAAATGCTCAGAAGAGCTGAGGGTGTGCTCATAGATAATAGTATGAGTGGCCCATTTTACATTATACATACTGTTATTTGATTCAATTTAAGATAAAGGAAATGAATGTGTTATATTCAAAGAAATCCACATTTTTGGTTCATTTTTCTTTATATACTTATCTTCCCAGGTTTTTGCTGCTTTGCTGCAATCATATGCTAAAAAGTTCAACAAATATTTAACATATCAGCATCCTATGTCCTGGTTAGGAATGTGGCAGATCTATAAAAAGCACAGAACACTTTATTTAAAAAATAGCACAACAATGTGGAAAGTATCCAAGTAAACCAATATGGTTTGATTTCACTGCCAAAGTCAGAGCAGTCGCTTCCAATTTTCAGGCACATATTAATCCACTGTGACAGTATATGCACTTACTTGCATATTTGTGTGTAGGTTCTGGGGCCCCCTTTTTAGACTGAAACAATAAAACTGAATGTTTTTGCAGGACAAACCCTCTATGTGGGCACGTCTGTTACCTCTTTTAAATTAATGAAGTGGCTTTAATGGAACACTGTTGATCAGCTGGTCCAGTACTTCAAATACTGGATAATTAATGACCAGTTGGATGTGAATATTTGAAACACATCAAATTTATTTATTTATTTACTTTTTAGGTTCACTGAGCAGCCACCTCTCATTTTCAGGAACACCCCAGTACAACCACAGACTGCCCAATGGTCACTGAGCTTTGTTTTTAGTTCCACCCAGATTTAATCCTGCTGCTCTGGGGATCAAACCAGCAACCTTTCAGTCACAAGCACACTTCTTTAACCTTTAGGCCGTCACTGACCATTGGTCTTTCTACAGAAATTCTCAAAAAAAAGAGTACATTTTCCCCAACTTTGCACCTTTGCTTCCTGGTTTTCTGTTGGTTTCCCCCCAAATGCCCTGTCTCTCTGTCAGGTTTGCCCAGCTGCACCTACTTTCTCATTCCCCTCACTCTGTTTTCACTCCCTTACCCTGATTACATTATCCCTTACACCTGCTTCGTACCCCCGGATTACCACCAGCTGCACCTGATTAGTTTCTACCTATTTAGCCCCTGCTCTTCGTTCGCTCCCCAGCCAGTTCTTTCTAACATTTCTCAGGCCCGTTTGTTCCTCGTTGTTCCTTCTGATCTGTGTTAGTTTTCTTTTGTCTCCTTCTCTCCAGCTGCTTTAATTCATTCCCTCCTCGCCTCAGTCGCTCCTTCAGACCACGGACCTCCTCCGCTCTGCATCATCACCACTCTGCAGGTCGATGCACAGTCTACTACTTACCGTATGTACAATTTCTGTTCCTCTTCCCCGTCTAACGCACAACTAGCTCAGGCACTGCAGCAGCAGCAACATGACCTGGCGCCACTCACGCAACAGGTAACACAACTCACCTCTTTGATGTTGTCTCAACAGAATCGCCTATCCACCCGTTCTACCAGTCCCCGCCCAGATCCTCCGATACCTGAACCAGACGTTTTTGACGGCAATGTGGATAAATGCCGGGGTTTTCTGCTGCAGTGCCGCCGGGTGTTCGAGCACCAAACACGGACATACCGTACGGGTAGAGA